GACTAGGTAGAGCTGGAAGAATTCAGAAACTGCGAAGATAACTTCTGAAGGATCTGCTTCAAGGGCAGCAGCTAGAGATGATTTCCTGAAGACGGAGCCTTGCGCTGAGCGGGCCCAGGACCGGAGAACAATGCATACACAGGGGCTCCTGGAAGAGATCTCCCCTCCCTTAGCTTACCTTGGCAAAAAATATCCAGGCTGCACACTGCCCTGGGGCCAGGGTGCTTCTGAGCTTCATGGTGCTGAACATGAGAAAGAATCCTAAAAATCCACTGAAAGGACAAAATATTCTTTAGTCAGGAAATATTCTTTAGAAGCTCGCCATCCCACTGTCAGTAGTAAATTGTAAAAAAAAAATTGTAAAACAGTTATATTCTCATTATTACACAAGTTCTAACCCATCTGCTTTCTAGTTATGTCTGAATAAAAACAAAAGGGAAATAGGAATTAACTTTAGTTCCCCAAGTAACAGCAAGAAGCTTTGGTGATACAACTGTTAAGTGCTCCGCTACCAACTGAAAGGATGACAGTTTGAACTCACCTCCTCAATTCTGTGGAAGAAAGGATTTGAGATCCAGTCCCACAGAGAATAGGGCCAAGAAAATGCTATGGGATTTTAACTCTGCCACATGGGATCACTATGAGTTATAATCAACTTGTTAACACCTAACAAAACAACACAGTGAGAGCACTTCATTAGAGCGAGGGGAAGATAAAGGTTGGGAGAACATTTGTTGGGACAAATCACGAAAGAAAAAAAATATGGCGGACAATATCCCACACACCCTTCCGGTTACTCTGGAAGCTTGGTGCTCACTGAAGTAAAGGTTCAGTCTTTTCTAAACTGTACAGGAAACTCACCCAGTGAGACTAATGGCCTGAATGGGACCCTGAGTTGAAAGGGAGTGTGGGTTTCAGAAACACATGGGGCATCTCCAAACCAGGCAAGATTCACCTAGACAGTATGCTTTGGGGGTGATGCCTCGGCATGTGTATGAAACAAAAGAGCCCTGCATGGGAGCCTGAGGCCGGGCAGCATCCTGGGCTATGCAGAGGTCTGGGCCAGCAAGGGTGCTGGCCCTGTGGTGGACAGGGAAGCAGCAGTATGCACTGGGGTTATTCTCCAGTGTCACCATGTGGCCAAGGCCCAAGCAAAAGGAGCTCCAAGCCAAATGGTCAATCACCTGGACACTGAGAGGCAGGACAACTGGAAAAGAAGGTGAGGCAGAGGTCAACCTCCTACAAATATGTACAGTGAGACTTAAGTGTGAATTTCACTTGAAATGAAAGTGGTGGTTGTAGCTCACACCAGAAGGTGCCTGCAGGGCTGCGAACACCTCACCATTAACCTGACCTTCATTATAGCCACTGAAGCCCTGGTGGTGCCATGGTAAAGTGCTTATATACTAACTGGAAGGTCAGAGGTTGAAACGCACTGGTCACTCTGTGAGAGAAAGGAAAGATCTGCAGCCTTGTCACCTCTGTGGAGTGCTTCTCCACTTTCAGGTCACGAGGAGTCAGAATTCACTCAGTGCCAATAGTTTTGGAGATTTTAAGTACAATTTTGCAATTTTTAATAACTACAATCTATGGTTTCCTAGGTTTTGTTAATATATATGTTTTATTTGAATAGTTATTGGTACCTAAGGAAGCTCTGGTGGCCTAGTGGCAAGAAGCTGTGCTGCAATCCTGAAGGCATATGGTTCAAATCCACCAGCAGCTCCACGGGAGAAGAATAGGCAATCTCTTCCCTGGCAATTAATTGCCTCTGAAAACCTGCTGTAGGGTCAGCTATGGAGGGTCTGTTCCGACTCTACAGTACACAACAACAACAAATGCTAGTGACTGATGTGTGCCTGACTCAGGCCATAGTCTTCTAAATCACCTGCTTTGCATGTGAGAGCTGGGCAATGAATAAGGATGACAGAAGAACTGACGCCTTTGAGCTGTGGTGTTGGAGAAGAGCACTGAACATCCATCCCATGGACGGCCGAGAGATCAAACAAATAGGTCTTGGAGAGGGTGCAGCCAGAGAGCTCCTTGGAGGCTAAAATGGTGAAGCTTCGTCTTTTATACGTTGGACATGTAGCTAAGCGAGGCTACTCCTTGGGAAGAGACATCATGCTTGGAAAGTTGGAGGGTCAGTGAAAGGAAGAACCCCCCCAACCAGACAGACTGACAGGGTGACTTTAGCAATGGGCTCTAGTGTGTCAGAGAGGATGAGGACGGCACAGGATAGGGCAGGGTTCAGGTCAGTTGTTCCTAGGGTCTCTATGAGTCATACTCAACTTAATGGCCCCTAACAAAAGTAAGGTTAGAGGCAGGAATCCAACCCTGGCCACCTTGTGATGCCTCCACAGCCTACCGGAGGCAGTGCCTGCTCTGGGGCAGGGTGTCAGGCTGCAGAAAGCAGGCTGAGCACGAGACTGAGCATATCCAAGGCCGAACTGCCCAGAAATGTACACTTTTCCTCATTAGATGCCTGTGCTCCTGATTAGATGAGCTGAGTGCCGGCCACATTCCTGGTGCAGGACCAGGGCCAGGCATCAGGTTCCCACCACACACACTCTCAAGCTGGGCCCGGGCATCCAGCACAGTTTGTTCAGATTTGCATCTGCAGCTAGGGAACAGTGGGCAGCCGTGGATTAAGGCATCACGTCATTCACACCCGAAAGGCAGCTGGGCCATTGTGACAAGCAGCAGGCCAGAAACAAGAGACCTGGCCCTAACTGTGCTCACTGACCCTTGTGACCTGCAACAAATCCCTGCTTTTTCCTTCAGTTTGGATTCTTAAAAGAGGTATAAGCACATTGATCCTCATCCTAACTTAAGGTTGCTACTAAGCTACTTCTGTTACTCCCGCTTGTCCACACCTTGGCTTGTTCAAAAAATGTATCCTTTACCCTAATAATCCACAGACCAGTAAGAGTCTCTCACTTTTGTGCAATGTTTCAGTAAACAGCTAACCCTCAGCAGAAACAGAAGTTGGAATGTGGAGCTACACTTGACCTCTGCCCCGTAGGAACCAGTTTTCTATTGATTCTTATTCATTAAATTATCCACCCATTCATCCAGGAACTCAAGCCCAGACACACCATGCAGGTCAGAGACCTGATCGCTGTGCAATCCCAGCTCATGGTGAAGGCACTGATCCCAAGTGATAGCAAGTAGGGGGATGAATTATGTTAGTCTTTTTTAGGGTTTGTTTTTTTTTCTTAGGGTGATAAATCAATCATTCTGAGGCCAAAAAAAAAGGCAAAAACAAAACATAAGACTGATTTGGGAAGCGGGGTACAAAACATCTGAGGAATGTGACTCTCTCCCATCAAAACTAAGCCCTGACCACACACCAGCATGTCAGCTCTGTTTCACAAGGGGCTGGGAATGGTTGGTTTGACTAACGCTGCAATTGGTCGTGATGTGTTAACATTTTCCTTCCTGCTGACTTGAGCAGATAATGATCCTCATTCACTCAGCCAGGCACAATAATGAGAATCTTGGATATTTTTTTTAACACAATCACCCTGCCTTGATGTTGTTGTTTTTTTATTTCACAGATGACAAAACCGAGGTTTGGAAGAACTTGGAGAACCAATCTAAGAACATCAGCAAGTAGCAGTGCTGGGTGGGATTCAGCCCGGGTCTCCATCACATCTACAAGTGCCTGCAAGATGCTTCCTGGAAACCTTCCCACTCTTCAGTATATGATTAAACCAGAATGGGGTTCACTGAAGGAAAAGAGGGACAGGGTGATAGGAACTTCTGTATATCTAAATGGTAATACATCACTGAAAACTTTTCAAAGTCAAATATTAAGCATTTCTGTGTGTCTAGTCTATGGCTTCCATCTGCTTCTCAGATTCAAAAGTGACTCTTATAACAGACTCTTTAGAGGGGTTTCGGATGCTATAAATCACACTTGGAGGAGACTGCCCATATTTTTCTCTCAAACCAGCTGGGGGATTTGAACTGCCTACATTTGGAATTACAACACACTTCCAAATCCAACAGACCACCAGAGTTGCCTGTTGTTGCCTGGTTGTCTCCAAGTATTAGAGTTCTAAAATTTATTCTTTTTTAGAGGTTGCTTTGAGGAGCAAGAGGGAAGCAGATTGGAAGCAGGTTGAATTCTGATGCAAATATTGAAGCTCATATGTAAGATTTGCTTCTAAAAAAAAGGAGGGGGTAGGACTCTAGCTCTTGAGCAATGTTAGAAATCACTCCCCTGGTCAAGGGACTTCTGCAGGACTGGGTCCTTGAAGAATCCAACAGAGCGCTGACACCTGGGGTGACAGCTACCTCCTCCCACACCCTCCACCACGCACCCTATGACACCATGAGATCACCAGAACAGCATGAAGGTACCGAGACTAAAACAACTGTGAGACCAGCTAATGTTCTATTAGAAAAATGGGTTCTGGAGCTAAAGATTACCTGGCACAACAGCTGCTGTGGAATCTGTAGAAATACAGGAACGGAAACTCCAGGACACTGAAGAGGTCACCTGAGGGCAGAGCATGGGTGAGACAATGGCAACACGGCCCCAGGACCCCTCCCTCTGTCCCCTATGGAAATAGGAGGCATGGCTTTATCCTGCAGTCCTCTGAACGATGCTAGCAAGCCCAGGGTCCTCCTGTTCATACCGTGACAATGATGATTATTCCAAGAGAGCCTACAAGTACCTCGGTGGTGCAATCGTTAAGTGTTCAGCTACTGATTGAAAACTGGCTGTCTGAATCTATCCACAGCACCAGGGAGGAGAAACCTGGTGGTGACTTCTAGAAGGACAAGCCAATCTAGCTGTATGGAGCAGTTCTGCTCTGACACACTGAGTCGCCATGAATCAGAATCAACTCCACGGCTCTGATTTGGGTCTGGTTTTAGGGCGAACCTTCTCTGAGCCAAGTCCTGTGCTACAAGCCTTTTGCACATCATCTTTATCAATCCTCATGACACCTCTATGATCCTTACTTCCACGGTTCATAGATCTAAGACTGCACAGTAACCCTCTCACTGCTGGAGAGAATGCAACTGAACACAAACACATCTGGTCTTATTTTGCTTCATTTCATTGTGTTATCACAGACACTGTATTTTTTTAAAAACTGAAGGTCTGTGGCCACCGTGTACTGAGCAATGCTATCAGTGCCATTTTTCCAGCATATGATCACCGTGAAGTTCTCTGCCACATTTTGGTAATTCACAGTATTTCAAACTTTATATAACGCTATTATGCATTTAATGCACTACAAAATAGTGCAAACATAATATGAGAGTTGTGCTGCCAATCCCAAGGCATGCGGTTTGAACCCACCAGTTGCTTCAAAGGCAAAAGACAGGCAATTTCTCCCCATGTGATTTACTGCCTCTGAAAACCCACTAGAGGGTCAGCTATGAGTCAGCTCCAACTTAATGAGAATGGTTTGTGCTTTTGTTGGTTTTTTGGTGGAATTTTTTGAGAAGAAAACAAAAAAAATCATGCAACTTGCTTTATGGCCTATTTGCTTGTTTGGCATGGTCTAGAGTCACACCCACAACAACACTTCTGGTGATGGCCTGCACTGTAGTTGAGGAAAATAGCATCATGTTTCTTCAAAACACTGAAAATCAAACTAACATATGACCAAGCAGTTTCATTCCTAGGCACTGCCTTGAAAGCAAAGAACTAAAGACAGACTTATACATATGGCAAAGTTCATTACAGAACTTTCACAACAGCCAAAAAGTGGGAACAACTCCAAAATCCAGCAACAGATGAATGAATAAGCAAGGAGGTCCATACATGCAATGGAACACCAGGAGGCCAACAGCAGAAATGAAGTCTTGATACAAGCTACAGGATGAATGGAGCTGGTAGACATATGCTGAGTAAAATTATTCAATTATGAAATACATGATATGAAAAGACAAGTGCATAAAGAACCAAGATTCTTAGCAGTGACCAGGCGTACGTAGGAAGGAGGAGGAGAGAGGTTAACAGGGATGAAAGCAGGGCATTGACTAATGGAAAGGTTGCACAGCTGATTGTTACAATTGCTAATTAGTCTTACACCTGTAAAAATGTTGTACTGGAAAGAATGTATAAAAGACCCATCAACGGCTAAGAAAGAGAAGCTGCTGAGATGAGTTGAGCACAGTCAAAACATCCTGGGTGTTAATTTCTTGGTTTGTTAGTTTAGGTCTTAGTTCTGAGTTATCCTAGTGAGCCTATCTCTTAACAAGATTATAGGTCTAGTTTACTGTGAAGTGCCCAGGGTCTTAAAAGCTTACAACCAATCATGCAAGGTACAATGATTGGTCTTTATTCACCTGCAACAGAAGAAGGAAAAGGATGTGGGAATGGAAAATGGTGCAATCACTATGGAAGGCAGTCTGGTGCTTTCTCAAAAAGTGGGAAACAGAAATATCATTTGACCCAGTAATTCCACTACCCGGAATATACCCTAAAGAAACCAGAGTCAGGGGAGCTCTGGTGGCCTAGTGGCAAGGAGCTCCAACTACAATCCCAGAGGCACACGGTTCGAATCCACCAGATGCTCTGCCGAGGAAGGAGGGACAATCTCCTCCTGTACCAGTCAGATCTGATTTGACGGTACACTCACACAAAAATAATAAAATAAAAAAAAGAAACCAGAGTCATGACTCAAGCAGATGTGTGCACGTTCATGTTTATTGCTTTATTGCTGTGTTATTTACAACAGCAAAGTGTATGAAGCAACTCAAGTGTCATCAATGAATGAATGAATAGAAAAACTACTGTATATTCACACACGGACTATTACATAGCACTGAAAAACAGTGAACTCAGAAAACATTACACAACATGTGTACGCTTGGAAGACACTATGTTGAGTAAAATATCTCAGTCACAAAAGGACAAATACTGCCTAAGATTGCTGTTAAAAAATAGGACTGATGCTAGGGGTTGAGGAGAGAATAGGAAAGGAGTAGCTAGATAATGAACACTGTAATGGAACAGATGAGGGGAAGAAGTATCTGAAAGAAATATATGATTAGGCATTATATGTACGACAACAATCTAGAACAAGACATGCATTGTGAACTGGACTAGGGGAGGGAGGAAAATGAGCAATGAATGATTAAAAATCATTTAAACAAAAAAGCAGGAAGAGGATAAGGAATATATGATTAATTGAACAACTGTCTTCTTTGGGATGAGAACAGAAGAACTAGACAGTGAATAGATGCCATTACTGCATATTTTAATCAAAGATTGCATTAAAAAATCCTGCTCAAAAGTGGAAAATGCACAGAAGAATGTCTCAAAATCTCATGGACTCTAGACTTCCTGGAGCCAAGAAGGTTGGATGAACCCCTGAGACAACCAAAAATATCCTGAAGTCTTAAAACCAAACAATGGCTTACCTTAACTGGTATAGTGTGCCCGCCTTCAGCACTGTGCTCTGATCTATTTGGAATCAAATTGGCGAAAGTAACTGGAAACCAAACCAAATCCACTGCCATCAAGTCGATTCCAACTCACATGTTCACAACACTGTCATGAACGGAGACTCTGCATGTTTCCTCAGAGGAGTCCAACATGTTAACACACTGTACCACCAGAGCTCCTTAAATAGGAACCCTGGGGAGGGGAGGAAGTAAATGCCTATTAATGGGGAAGGAACGACTCAGAAAAAGAGGGTGGGAATGTCTTGTACAATTCAAGACTCTAATCAATGTCACCAAATGTACATACAGAAACTGATGGATTGAAATTCTGTTTGGCTGTGTATCTTCTCATCGATAATGATAAAATAAATGAAATTATCATTATTTTCAAGAAAGAGGAGCAGGAAATCTCAGATCACACAGCTTTTGAGCTGTGGAGGCAGAATCAATTCCCTGGGTATCTCTACTCCAACAGGCAGCCTTCCCTGCAGAAGGGAACGTGGAGGAAGAGATTCTTTTTAAAGAGGTTTTTCTTCTTTTTCTGCCTCTTGGCTAAAAAAAGACCATTAATTCATTCCTCTGAAGTCTTTTTTTTTTCTTTTTGCTTTTTTTTGCGTTTAATTACTGCACAAAAGGCGCAAGGCTCAGCCCCACCAGGCATGCTCATTTTAAGGTCAAAAGGGGACATTTATTTCTAGTGAAGTAAGTTCATTCTTTTAGTTCCATTTGGTGCGAGAGGAAATAATCACACATATTGGCTGCTTCCCCCTCTGGAATTTGAACTTGGTCTCACAAACAAGTAAATCAGGAGATTAAAAATGTAGAAAGCTTTCCAAAAATATCCACAGAAAAGGAATTAAGCATTTCCACAGCAGATAGCCTGAGCTTTCAAATCCTTCCAAATGTGGAATTTCTGAGGCTCCAGAGGCGCCTGACCTTTCAGCTTCTGCTCTTTGGTCTATTTCTCAGCTTTGGACGGTGAGGAGGGCCGATTTTTCTATGTACTGGCAGGGTAGCAGGTGTGCAAAGAGACAGGCAGCCTGCATTTTCTTCATCACTACACCTTTTACCCCAGAGCTTCAGAACAAAGATACAAAGGGATTCTATGCTTCCTCACAAACCTAATGATTCATCCACTTATACTGTTGTTAAGTACTGTCAGGGTGAGTACAACTCATAGCGACCCTGTGAATAACAAGTCTGAACCCTGTCCTGTTCTGTGCCATCCTTATCATACCATACATGCTTGAGCCCATTGCCACACTCTTATCAATCCATCACATTGGAGATCATCTTCTCCTCCGCTGACTCCCTACCTCCCCAAGCATGATGCCCCTTTTCCAAGCAACAGCCTCTCCTATCAATATATCCAGAGTAGGTGATGTGAACCTTAACCATGCTCGCCTTCAAAGAGCACCCTGGTTGCACTTTCTCCAAGTCATATCTGTTCTTTTGGCAGTCCAGGGGATATTCAGCAGTCCTCTCCAACAGTGCAACTCAAAAGGATCAACTATTCTGCCATCCCTTTTCACTGCTGCTCTCAGATGCACAGCAGATGAATGAAAGACCATGCCCTGAATTCAATGTCCCTTAGTCCTTAAACTGATATCACTGCTCTTCAGAACTTTTGTCAGATCCCTGACAGTGGACTTTGCCAATGCTGTATGTCTCCTGATTCCTGGTATTTTGTAACATGATTATTGCCATTTTCTGTCTGTTTCATTTGTGCAAATGTGTGTGTTTAACTAACTCGAACTCATTGCCATCAAGTTGGAAGTAACTCATCACTGATTCTCTAGTGGGTTTTCAAGAAGCTGTAAATTGTATGCAGACATCTGTCCATCTTTCTCCCCTAAAAACACTGGTGGAGTCAAACCACCAGAGACATCACCTTTGGGTGAGCAGCCCAACTCCCTGGACTGCAGTACCAGAAACGTCTGTTAACTGAAAACAGCTATTCGTTGGGATCTATGTTTTAGTATCCCAAGCAAGAACACAGGAATTGTCTTCGTCGTGATGTCACTGAATATGCCACCTGTCTGATTTCTATGTTGGTGCAAGAACTTCATCAACTAAAACACTGGGCCCAGATAC